AGTGTCAGATATAATAATTTGGAGGTTAAGAAAGGATAACTGTTTATTGTTTTTGTGTTCTATGGTATTCACCATTGCAACTCAAAAAACCATAATATATCTATTAAAAACACAGTCATTTTAAACAAAAAACCCAACATAAACAAACAAAAAATCAAGGAATCCATCTTGATTGAACAAAACAACCCTACTCTAAACCAACACCCCGGGATGCCTAGATACCTCTTCTAAGTTTCACAACAGTTCCGGTCATGTGATTTCTTTGTTCAATACTGTATATATATATATCCGTGTCAGTGTAAATTACTTGTATCTGATGATGACAAAACCTTGTCGAAACGTTGTACATTTGCTGTTATGTTAAACTTATATTAAAGTTTTTCTTCATTTCCCATTCAAGCCGTCTCCAGCCATTATTAAAACTAGTTTATTCTTTCTCAATTCAACTTTGCAATACACTTAATTTCCACAGTCATCTTAACTTAAACTCACGCTTTAATTTACAACGAACGATTCACGCACTTTACTTACTACCGGGCTTGACTCAATTGTCCGTTTATATCTTTGCCTGTCTGCAATTCAGTTCCAATTAATTGCCTGGCGCACTTATATACAAGAATAGAGGGCGCCTAGCAAATACTGGATTATACGTGATTTTCCCCGATCTTTCTAGAACTCATTACGTGTTACCACAGTCACGTGACTTCCGCTGTCGTAACAATATCTAAAATTGTTTTCTCTTGCAAAAAAGGAGCTCTCAGGTGTTTAAGATGACTAACAAAACTGATAGTGTTGATGCAGTAAATTCAAGAGAGTTTGACAAATATATATGAATGATAAAAACTGACTATGAGTGTTTTTACCCTCGCCCTGCGAGGCTATTGCAATTGAGTCCGTGGTTGCGCGTGTCTGTCTGTCTGTGTTTCTGCGCGTGTATCTCGAAAACTAATAGACCAATGTACACGAAACTTTTACACAAGATGCGAAGTCATTATGGGACAGTCCTCCCCAAATTAGTTCCGGATTGTGGATCACTTTGAAGCATTTTTTTTATATACTGGGGAAATTGGGCATTTTCGTAGTTTTCAGTTAATAACTCTCTAAAATGTAAACGCATTCATACCAAATTTGATGAGCACATTAATAATACTATTAATAATAATAATAATACTACAAAAAATTATCCGTATCATTGATAATTCTGGATCTGAGAAGGATTTTCTGAGTTTCCGAAGGTGAAATTTTATGTTATCCAATATAAATGCTTGCAATCTCGAAAAGGAGCGGCGGGGTGAGTGTACGCAATCTTTCTGAATGTTCTTGTTCTTAATGGATGAGTCCCTGGATGGACCAACTATATGTTATATTATGCTAAACTACAAGGTATACTAATAAGATGCGCATTGATCAGGAGATTAGGATATTTTCCCTTCTAAAATTGAAGTTTCTAATACTAAAGCTGAAATTAAGTTTCTTGGTTTTATTGTGAGTAGTTATACCTAACTTGTTGCACTTTTGCCCTAAAACAGAAATACCTCTAGCAGTTGCTTCTCCTTATAATAGGAATTGTTTCCAGCAGCCACGATGTTTAATTAAATAAGTAATTAATGGTTTTATACTACACACAATTTTTCTCCAAATATATTATTATTTATTCACATAGATTGTGTTAGGGCTTAATCAAAGTGTTGGTATATGCGTACACGTCAGTAAAGTGATTATAACAAATCCTGAAATGTAATTTAGCACATATTCTTATAATTAGAATCTAAGTAGTTGAAACGTATTTGTTTCATTTTGTGGGAATGTTTAAGGACATATCTTGATATAAAATGTTCCGTAAGTGAGAAATTTATTTAATTTTAGCATTGGCTGATAATGCTATAATGGCAATGAGCATAATATGAAATGCTGCATCAATTTGCACTTGTGCTGTCTTGTTTTGCTATGCCATAGCTGACCTCAGCAGTAGTTTCATTGGTGTTCGTGATTTGCCTGTACTTGACACATCACAGGTTGAATCTTACTTCTCAGATTTGTTTATGAGATTGTGCAAAACAACACTGCAACAAATCCTCCACAGGTGTATCACCCAAAAGTTTTCTTTCACATCAATACATTTATTGCTTTACATACTTCTTGCTTCATCTACTGGTTTATTGGCTTTTACATATTGGCAACTGTGGCTCATAATGGATTCAAAGAAAGTGAGAAATATTATGGATTGTGTTGTATATCAATTTTGAAAATTTTTAAACTTTAAAATTGCCTCAGGAGCTTCCTTTTTATAGTTTTGTTTAGAATTTCGCGCAAAGCTACACGCGCTAGCTGTCCCTAATTTAGCAGTCTAAGACTAGAGGGAAGGCAGCTAGTCATCACCACCCACCTCCAACTCTTGGGCTACTCTTTTATTAACGAATAGTGGGATTGACCATCACATTATAACGCCCCCACGGCTGAAAGGGCGAGCATGTTTGGTGGAACGCAGAATTCGAACCCGCGACCCTCAGATTGCGAGTCGAGCGCTCTAACCACATGGCCATGCCGGGCCTCCTTTTATAGATTTTCTCTATTTCACTATATTTTTAGATTCTTAATAATGCTATCATTTTCAGCATTTCCTTTGATTCGGGTCTTCCGATTGGTCAGCAACATCTTTACAGACATACATTGCTGAAATCCAGGGTTCTATCTGAGGAGAACAGAGCAAAATATTCCATTGTGTAATTTTGCGCTAAAAACGACAAAGAAACAATATATCTGTAAGTTGGATTGCTTTCTTTAGAATAACTTTCTTTCTTGTTCCATGCTGTAACCTAGATCACTTTTTAGGTATGTGAATAATATCCTGCATTCTGCCAAATTTGATTATTCAGTATTATTGTCAAGTTTTGAATATTCTCTGTGGATTCTTTATAGTAGTTGTCTGTGACTTTTGGGTGATAAATTCGAACAATAAACGGATGTCACACAATCCACTTGTTTTAAAATAATATACTTAAAACAAGTCAAACAGATGTACAAAAATTCTTTACACTATAGAATATCATAGTTGTTTCTAAAACACTAAGTTATCCTCTTTTCTTGCCAAAAATCCACACAGGCTGGTTCAAGTACACAGACCTGTGGCAGTTTTAGTGTCTTTACATGTTCTATGATAATTCCTGTACGCTGAATTCGAAAATGATATCATTTTTTTCCCCATCATGTATAGATTTTTCACAAAATGTCATAAGCGAATCATTTTCATTAAAAAGGGTCACTTTTTTTTATGCTTAAAATGTTGACAACCTTGGTTATAGATTTCTGTATACCAGTCGTGATGTGAGACTCTTATTGATCGTTCTGGAAGCCAAACATAATAATGAAAATTTTTCATTGTGGTAAATGAAATAATAATTTAATCTAAGTAAGTGTTTTTTCTTCCCGATTCGTTAAGTTTGTTTGTTTTTAATTATGCACAAATTTACACAAGGGTTATCTGTGCCCTGCCCACCACGGGTATCGAAACCCGGTCTCTAGCGTTGTAAGTCCGCAGACATACCGCTGTGCCACTGGGGGACAAAATTTCGATGGGCTCGTCCGAGATTTGAACATGTGACCTCTCGCACCCTAAGCGAGAAGCATACCCCTAGACCAACGAGCCGTCTGATTCGTTAAAAATCCTTACGTAATATAAAAAAATATTGATATTTTCGAAATCTGCATTGCTGAATTATGGAAAATCCGTTATTAAAACCAAAACAACTTTTATGAAGTTTATGAATATTATTTTCGAAATCTGCGTTGATAAATTATGGAAAATCCGTTATTAAAACCAAAACAACTTTTATGAAGTTTAAATTCGTAGGCCTGTGTTATTTAAAAACCCAATTGACAAGACAAATTATTTTTCTC